CAGCACTTTCACTCCTCGAAACCATCCCATTTGCCACCGCCTTCTATTTTCGATTCGGCTCGGGACACCGTTCAGCTATGTTTTATCTATTACACGCCGCTTTCGTAACGCTCCGCGTTTCTCGAAATGCTCCGTCCGTTTCAGCTGAGCGGGGACTCCACGCTAGACCGTGAACGGAACTTTTACGGTCGAACTTTTATGGATGGATACGCCGGGATTATTACTTCTCTAGACGACCGCCACTGCGGTGAACAATGGCAACGGATTCTTTGTGACTTTGCTTTCGTCGTTGGGAACACGAGGATCAACGATGCCGTGAATGTTAACCATAATTAGAAGCCAACAACAAGCTGTTCCAAACCTTCACGCTTGGCATTCTTTTTTCCTCTTCTTTGTTTCCCTCTGAATTATACTCTCTGAACTCGTATCTTATTATCATATTATTTATCCTCTCATCATGATCACGTACTAACTTAACCTTTTGTACTGCAGAAGTTTTTCACCGGAAATATTCAATATTTTCACGTGCATTGTGGAAGAGAATTACTTTCTTTCAATATTTCGTACATTGATGCATTATATAAAGTTTAATATTAAATATCAAAGTTACAGTTTTGCTGCGTCAAATCATTTGGTGATTTAGAACTTCTAAATTGTGATTTACTTCTCGAAAACAGAGGATCATCTTCAAAAAGGCTCTTGTACGTGTATAACACAGCATGCACAGGGTTTCATTCGAAACAGATTTTCGAATTTCGAAGCAACGAAGCAACGAAGCAACGAAGCAACGAAGCAACGAAGCAACAAAGCAATGAAGCAACAAAGCAATGAAATATCGAAGCAACTAACCATCGAAGCAACGAAGCAACGAAGCAATTAACTATCGCAGCAACGAAATATCGAAGCAACGAAGCAACGAAGCATCCTACTTCGAAACTTCATGTTTCGCCAAGGTTTCCATCGCACGCGCAAAATCCGCGCCGCGTCCCCGGCACCGGTGTCCCGCGAGGGCACACCGCTGCGACGCGTAATCGGCGTGTTTACGAGGCGTCGCGAATAATAATGCCGGAGCGATCTCGCGTGTCGCGACGGCAACCTGTGCGCACGCGACACGTGCGTGGATTTTCATTCATAAATCGCTGGTAAAACCTCGCTCAATGACTCATCCCGGCGCGGCGCTCTCGTAAGAGCTCGTACACGCGCGCCCTCGAAACTGAGGTAACCGAGGCGAAAATAAAAAAAGATGCACGCGGGAACTCGGACTCGCGCGCACGAATCATGCAAATCTCGGGGCTGGGCGTGCTGGTCTGACGGTGACCGCATCGCGCGACGATGGAAATTTTTCCCTCGATACCGGAAGCGGCTAATTCGACGCGGCTTTCGGAGACGACGGCGGCAACCGGTGTCTGCTGATTCACGCGGAGGAACGCGTCAGGTGCGCCGCTCGCTGCCTCGCGAAACTCAAGACGCGACTTTTCGCGGGAGTTTGTCGTTTCTTTGTTTTCCCTTTTGTTTCCTCGGCTGATCGAGTTCTTTCGATGCTAGAATTACCGAACACAACCCTTTGCACTCGGAAGTTTTTCTCTAGAAATAGACTATTTTATTTCAATATTTCTCAAATTGATGCATTATACAGGGTATAATATTAAATAAAAAATTTCATTGTTTTACTGTATGAAATCAAATGGCAACTCTCGAGCGCAAAGGGTTAACCCCCTGTTTTATAATAACGTGACTCGTGAAGATTTCAAATGGAGTTCAACACGTTGACGGTCACTTTGAAATCGGTGACGGAAGCAGTTTTGTTTTTCTTAATTGGTTGATTCCTGGGGAGTTCGATAAAAGATCTCAGTTTTAGAGCAAACTGAACCAGTTTCTTTGATAACTTCTCCAAGAAGTATCCAAAAGGATAGAACTCCAAGAGTGTGTTTATTGAGACTTCAATCGACATTGATAACAAGCGTCCGCTGTCCTTCCGACGATTGCGCAAGGAACCGGGAATCGTTCCGATAACGAAAAGTCGAACGGACGTCGAAGAAAGAATCGTCATCGCGCGTTTCCTGCGAGCGGGCCGCAACGAAGGGAACGGTCGTCTTTCCCGCGAGGCTAAGAGGCAGGATGACACCTCTTGCCATCTGACCCGTCCGCATTGCTCCCGCTAAACTTAACCCTGCCTTCGTTTAGCTAAACCCTCTAATTGGCGGGTTAACGAGCGTTAACTCCGGGCTTCCTGTCAGATTTAACTGTTTTCCTTCGGTGCCAGCCGCGGACCGGCAAAGAATTCTCGAATTTCGTGGCTGAAATGCTTTTCGCGGGAGGTTCAACGACTCGCGGCGTGCCGGCGCACCGGGTAATTGGGAAATTAGCTCCTCGGGCTGCTCGAAGGGGCCATCTTTGAATCAGAAAAATACTGTTCCCGACCGTAGTCTTGTCGTGACGCAGCAGTCACTTCGCAATCAAATTCTTTCGGGATTTTGAAACGTTCGAGGCTCTCGAGCTACAGGTTTCCTATGGTTACACGGTTCATAGGGGAGTATAAATTCTACCGTGGCGGTTGGAGTGATTTTGGAATTAAGGAATATTTATATAGACTCCGAAATAATTTTCGAATCGTAAGAAATCAATGTGCAGGCTCTGTAATGGTTTTAGAATTTTTTAACATTCGCGAACTTGAAATATGGATTTCAGAATTTTTGGGATCAAGGAATATTTCTATAGACTTCCAAATAATTTTAAATCGTGAAGAACCAGTGTACAGTATTGTACAAAACTTTGTATCGCTATAGGAAATATTTAAATAAAATTCCTTTGTCGCTTAATTTATCTGCGAATTACCGTTAAATTAATTTCAAACAGTGTCGTCTGTATCTCGTCGAAAAATGTTGAATATTTCCAGTGAAAAACTTTCGGGTCGAATAAATCGAATGACGATCGATTAGATAACCAAATGCTAAAGTAACAATTGCCTTATAATTCTTAAATGCGTCTACTTCGAGCCTACGAATACTTTATCTGAATTGGTCGAGTAATTTCGAACGGTACTCGTAAGCGAGTCAGACTTCAAGTTCAATTTAACGGCGACGCCGGTCGCCGAAATACGTCGACTGCGTCGCGGAACGTGTAAAATGCCACTTATGTAAGAATTCCGTAATGAACGCAGCCTTTTAAGACCTGCGCGGGTTCCCCGAAAGGAAAATGTAATTACGGAGCTACTGTAAGATAAGAAAATGGCGCCGAAACTTGTTCCCCGGAGGAAATATTATTCCTTAGTCCCCGGAGTTTCACAAGACACGCAAATTGTTCAATTTCCCGAACGGCAATTAACGCCGTCAGTACACGGCGAACGAGCTGCGCAGGTAAAAGGGCCGAAGATTCGGCGCGATAAAGGCACCTCGTAGACGTTTCGAATGGAAACGTCATTGCCGACGCAATCTATGCCCGGATTTGCGTTATACACTCCGAAGCTCTCCGCTTTCACTCTTATCTTCTTAATCTACGCTTCAAATGTCCATTTCATGAACATGTTTCCCTACAGTTTATTATTTACCAGACACTTATTATTTCCTATCGATAGTAAAAGTATAGTGAGGACAAATCACGAAGACATTTTGTTTTTCTAACAACTTCAAATAATTGTCTGACACAATTCAATTGATAAAGATTCAGATTATTTAAAAAGAAATATATATTCACACCTGAGTAGCATTCTCAATAGCAAAAGTACTATATGGATAATAAAAATCCGTGAAAGGCCAAATTACGAAACCATTTTGTTTTTCTCCTAACTTCAAGTAATTGTCTATCACAATTCATTCGGTGATTGCTCGTGATATTCAGATTGAAAAAGAAATACACATATTTACCCAAGTCGCATTCTCAATGACGAAGGTACTACATACCAGTCACACGAGTGGCAGCGCGAATCGCTCGAATCAAATATTCTAACAGTAATCGTAGTAGAACTACTCCCACGCGAGCTCCGGCTATATTCACGGTCTAGCCTCGATTCGAGCATCGATCGCGTGTCGACCGTGACACCTGGACGATCGACGCGGATTCGATAAGCCAGTCCCGCCAACGGAACTTTCGAGTCGCAGACATCTAATGTCATCTATCCAGCTACTCGAGTACTCGGTACAAAGCAACCAGAAAGAAAAAAGGAAACAAAGTTACATTGAAATTCTCTTACCATAGCCTTCTCCTCTTTTGTCAGCTGCCACGTATCGGACAGGTTAGAAACCGGCAGATACATCGAGAAGGCGTAGCTGTGATCTTCGACGATGGTGTCGCAAAAGCCTGCGCTAGGTACACGTTGCGACATCTGTAAGCCGGTGTCGCTTACGAAACTTCACTGGAAAAAGGTGAACGCTACTTCCGCGAACACGGAAGAGGAATATCGGCGTTGACGATTTCGAACGCGCTTCCGAAAAGTACACTCGCGACGAGAACTCGTCTCGTGTCACCGGTTGTCACGTGTCCGTAACGATCGTTCGGAGGGAACGACGTATAAACGAGAACCGAAGTGGAACGAGGGGAACCAATGGTGCAACTAGCTCGGAAAAGTCTTCTACTTCGACGGAGGCGCACTGTCACGTAGAACTCGTGTCCTATGCCATACGACAGCTGGTGCAACGTGATCGACTAACTGATGTCGCGCGTGCTTACGTATCCCAACTGAGCCCGCCAATGTGACTGGGAAACTATATAGAAAGACAGCCAGCGCGCCGACCTCCCACCAGCCGGAGTCCCGAGCGACCGCCGGCCGTGACGTCATCGCCATCTTGGTTGCTGATTCGCGCGATAGCGCGCGGCCAATCAACGCGGCCCGGGACGACGGACGAGCCGTTCGTAAGTGTTTACCCGCGGCCGTCCCGCGTAGCGCAGAACCAGATCCCCTTTTCCAGGTAAATTGCGCGCGGTCGTTAACTTGCATAATTTTGCTAATGAATGGGTAATAGGCGAAGTCGTCTTCTAATTGCCAATACCGATCGTAATGGGTATACCGCTTCCACGGTCTGCCCGTGATGCCGTCGTAAGAACCGACGGCCCATTAGTCTAGTACCCATTTTTTTTTATCTTCGCTTCGAACGGGAGGCCATACATTACCCCCCTACCGTCGCGGATCGCGACGCCGAGTTCCAGCTCGCTCTGTTGACACGTTCCGCGCCGGACCGATCTTTGAGACTTTCAGGTCGTGTGGGGCGTACGACAGTTTTACGATTAAATAAAATTAAATAAAGGTATACGTGACATTGAGATGCCTGTGTTTGACTATGCAATCAAGTTTTTAAGTTCTTTCTCGATGAGAACTTTTCGGTCTGAAGACCATTCCGGTTTCTACAAGTTTTTTTATCAGTTCGTAGATGTGATTTGTAAAAGGTTGTCTTTTAATGATGTACATTATGCGAATGTTTTTTTCAGGTTTCATTCAGCGTTCGATGTTTATCATAGCGCTGGGGTTATGTGAGGTTAGGAGAGCTTGAAACAATAACAATCGCTTGACAGGTAAGCACTCGCGTACACCGTGGTAAACAACGGTGGGAGTGATTTTATTCAGACGTCGGAATTAGGTTTACACCATGCTCAGAGTAAACATGACCTCGACACGACCTCGTCTTTTTCAGAGCCGTTTTGTTTTTCCAGCGTTACAGAAGAACGGACAGAGAAACGAAGATTATTACCGCGAAGGGTATCCGCTGGACGTCAAGGCGTGCGCGCACGGCGCTGAAAATATGTCAAGGAATTACTCAGGGAATTGGCCCGGCAGAAGCTCAAGGCTCGGACCCATCCAGCCGCAATTTCTCTCGGTTTTAACGGCGTCGTTTTAACATTAGAACTACCGAGCAATTAGAGTGACTTATTTCCAAGTTCCTATACAAATTAGAACAGCATGTTCTTTGAGCTCTGAAGGGTTTCCTAGTCTTATGTCTGTACCAGTACACAAGTTTTCATTTCAAATCTGCAATGACACCATAATTTAACACTAAATTTACGGAACGAGTCAGTATGACTCATATTGAATTCTATAAACACTGGTAAATGGTTGGCTCGATTTTGTTTGATGCAATGGCGCTCTGACGATCTAGTTGTCTACTTTTAACCCTTTGAACTTCGTAGGCTTCAATATTGCACCAGGAATAATATTATATATTTTAATGAATCTTAAAGAAACTACCCTAAAATTATTAGACCTTTCACACATCCAAATTTTGCACTAGGAAGGAAAATAAAAGATCTAAGAAATGTTATAGCATTTTTTTTCGCTAGGTATAAGTCATTGAAATGTTACCTTTAAATGGTACAACTGTGATACCACAAATAAATATAGAAAAAATTGTTAAAACAGGTAAAATAGGACTCGACGCAGGACTGCTAAGGGTTAAATTTTGTGTACGCCTGACACGAGTGTCCCGTCCACGTGACCCCAGCGGCTGCGTTAGGGGATGCAGATGCCACGGGAAACGAGCGCGAAAATAGAAGACATAAACGGGGAGGAGAAGGATTTATCGCGACGTTCAGTGGCTACCGTCGCGGAAAATCATCTGTCGCGCGGATTCTCCCGCACGCATGCGTGCAAGCAACTCCTACTATTTCGGTACGGGGAATTCCCTCGCGCTCGCGCGCTTACCGCGCACACTCTTTGTTCTTGTTTCGACATGTTCCCGCTGCACGTGCAACGAACCCCGGTGCAACGTACGTGTGAACGTACTTTGCACAAGGATGAAAAGAAAAAAAAACGAAGAAACGAAACCGCCTGCCGGTCGTTATTGTTCGAGCATCAGCCATTAAAAGTTCGCCGAGAAACAAGCGCTCGCGCAGGCGCGCTTGCGAGTCCGTAACCGCTTACCGAACGTGTTCGAACTTGTCGGACACTGGGAATCGTGGAACTTGGATATGCTTTGTTCGCATGTTCCAGTGATTGAGAGAGCAATTTCTAAAGCGTGTAATGCAAAAATCAATGGTATGTGAAAATGCATGCATTGCAAGGTGAGACTCCAAAATGAATTTTAATCAAACTCAAAGATTGTTAGTAAATTTTCTATTCAATTTGGAGAGGAGGAAACTATTTTTGCTACTAGCTACCATGTTTTAAAGGAACCCTGGTATTAAATGGGCGAGTGTCTTTAATAGATTACATCTAAATATTTTGTTTCTCGTTCCAGGCTACTGACCTCGATAAACCGATTGTCAAGTATCGCCGGAACAGGTATATCGCAACCACCCAGAGGAAAACAATGATTTACGACCTTGTTTTGCTCGACCGGAAAATAATAGGCAGGAACGAAGGAAGCCCTTCCACAGGGCATAGGGCGGAGAGTATAATCAGTTTCTTAAGCTTCCGTGTGAAAAGCAAGGAACCCCGACAGATTTACGAGCCTGTTTTCGCGGAGAGTCACGTGAAAGAGAAAGAGCGCCGTGGAATGTCAACAAAGCGTGATTCACTGCCTCCGCTCGCCTATAATAAAATCCCGTATCTCCTACCTATTCTAAAACCAACAATGAGAAAACAAATTCTTTCCGTGCATCGTCTTTTACTTTTGTCTGACTAATTTCTATGATGCTTGTCCCAATTACTTCAGACGTGCCACGGTCATTTTGTAACTGTACTTGTTCCAGGCTTCATTATCTAGGATCATTACGAGTCCACGTTCACTCTAAATTCAATGCTCAGAAGAGAATATAATATTTATATCACGTACGTACATCAATTTAGCTACTAATCCTAATTATCTCTCTAATCTCCAATTTCTAAATCAATGAACATCCATTTTCTAGGAACAACGGAATGAACTCTACAATAAATGTCCCTAAACCTTGTTAATCATAGCAAATGTTAAATTCAGTTTCACTTCTCCATCGGTATTAAGAGGCAAGGCGTTAATTACCGCAAAAGACGTCGATGCCAATTTAAAAGATGAATTGCAGTAGGACAATGATTAACAAACACGACACGAAAACTCCGAAAACTTATCCGAAGGTGGGACATACGAATCCGCCATGTTGGTCACGTAGCGAGGAAAAGCCGCCGCGAGACACAATGGAGCAGGAAACCGAAGATCGTGGCCGTGACGTGAAAGGATCGGAGCGAGCTTTGTTCACCGGACTTGGACAATGAGGATCGGCGGCCGGGTCAATCAAATGTTTGTGGGTAAAACGAGAAAGGCCCGCGGATTGCGCCGCAATCGGTCGCGCGACGAATATCAATGGCCGCCGAATCTGTCGCGTGCCCATGGGGAAAGCTAGAAGCCTTGATTCACTCTTCCCTCTCTCGACACTACAATAAGTCATTCCACAAATTACAAAAGTGCAATCATTGAAATTTCGGTTGACCTATACTTCAGTTCACGTGAAATCTATTTACTCCTCGGGAAATCATCTGTACCTTTCCAATGATTGCAAAATGAGTCATTTCGACATTACAGTTCTATCAACAAAATACTGCTAACTTTGTCAAGGATGTTTTTTTGTAATTCTTGCAAATCGTCGCTTCACTTTTCTACTGCAATGCATACCACGTTATACGCATTTGCCCTGCGTTCGACGTATATACTCGTCCTCGCTCGATTCGCCTAAGCATGCCGCGAGTGATTTTTAAATTTACATTCCACGGTTAACAGGTTAACCGCAGGGACGAGCGGCGGTCGTGCACTTTGAATATTCAAGATGGCCGGAGGAGGAGAGGGACGATAAGACGGTGATGAGTGTCGAATGAATCAGTCGGCGCTTCTTCTTTTATGCGTCGAACACGATCGGCGTGCAGCTTTTACTTTCGCCGCGGATAAAACACGACCACGGTACCGGGAATAAAGGGACACAATGGAACGAGATTACACCTCCGTGACTTCGCCGCTGATCGCCGACTTACGGATTCCCATGGCGTGCCAGTCGCCCGGCGTTCACGTATCTTCCGAGTTTTCGAGTGTACCAGTGGAACACGAATGATCGAGGAAAGGCGTTTTTGTTGCTCGCAGCGTTTTCAAACAAAGGGCGGTTTCCGGTAGTTTCATGGTTCCCGGAGGCGTAGCAATTGCACTGGAGTCTCGCGTGCAACTTAGAGGCTCGAGTTTCGTGCCCGTTGGCTATCAAAAGTATCTCGAGTACTTCGTGTATCTTTTTATTCATAATAGATACAATGATGCTACGCTGGGTTTGTTATCAACTTTTAAATATTAATTATTAATCACCAAGTACCACAGTTCGAGCTGTTTACTTGAGCATTTTTAGGACATTAACCATCCTGTAACTGTTTTCAGCAATCCTGATTCAGAACCTAATCTCGCAAGGACCTAAATCTGGAACTGTTTGCTTCCTAATGATACTCCCATGATGACCTTCCTCTTTCTCACAAAATACTCGTCGAGCAAAGGTACATACATTCCAGGATTTCATTCTTAGTATCAATCCCTATAAAATCAAGTTCATCCTAACCCTTTGCAGGCGAATGTCACTGTCGAAATCAAACTCTCATTTGTAATACTAAGTCGCAACAATTTAATGATCAATGTCTCTTTTCTCTATTATTTAACCCTTTGCGGACGAAGATTCTCTGAAATATACAAAACTAGCTAAATTATATATCGATTGCTTGAACAATACAAGAATAGAAAACTACGTGCTGATCTCTTGCTATTCGAGTAATTAACTCTTTGCACTCGATAGGCAATTTTCAGTCGCCAGATAATTTGATGCAGCAAAATTATAAACCTTGGTATTTACCATTAACCTTTGTAACTAACTAGTAACTCAGAAACTAGCTTTGTTCCCTAATTCATGTGTGCTTTCTTGATAAATTCATTCTAAAGAATCTTGTCTACATCTAATTAGGAAGTACTGAATATTTCAAGTGAGAAACTTTCGAGTGTAAAGGGTTCAATCATTTGTTTACTTAGTCTTCCAAATATGTAATTCGACAGGACCTGCCTTAGGTTTTATATCACAAACAATGTTCGTCCGCAAAGAGCTAGAACATCGAAAGAAGCCACTCTAAATTCGATGCATATGGTCACGTGCTCCAAACACGGGTCCACCGAAGATTCGTCGGAAAGAGGCGATACCGTCTGTCCGTCTGCCCGCGCCCAATATTCAAATACGGCCGCCGCCCACAGTTCGTATCCCGAAACAAAGGGATCGGGAGGCCGCGTTCTCGGAACCGTTTCCTTCGACGCTAATATTCCCGGCGTTCCGTGACCGGCGGTCTTTGTCCTTAACATTTGCATTTTATCGGTCGATTTCTTCCTCTGAACCCTACCTAAACGCTAATGGTGACGGAGATAATTAGGTGACAACAGCTGGCTCGGCCGGCTATCTCCTCATAACATTTAATGCTGCGCAGTACTAACCACGATCTATGGTACCAGGCGCCCGCGCGAGACACGGACACGTGCGCTCGCTGCGTAGCTGTGTATACGTGTGCGTGTAAAGCTGCGTCCCCACTGCGGCGATATAGCTACGTCTCCACTTATGCGACCGCCTAAAAAGAACTACAACCTCCATTATCTTCAATTGAACTCGTTCAATTAGGTTGAAACTTTGTTTTGTAGAAACGTATTTGAACTGCAATCAATCCTACTTAATTATGAAATAATCGAATAATAAGACTAAATGACAATAGGAAAGATAAACAGTAGACAGTGTGTTGCTAGGTGAAAAATAGATCTCTCTACTGTTGGCCAAGTGTTAGGAAACTATTTAAAGGTTGTGATAAATTGTGAAATTTGCAAGGCAAAAATTCAGTACACATATGACTTGTATTATTCAGAGTTGGTAATGCGAGTGGGGAAAAGCGTCGAGCGAAGGGTTAAGATACACGATATCTGGAAAAAGTTGGCCGATGTTGCTTCAGTGGGGGAGATAGCTTAAACTTTCGTGGTAAGCGACCGAGGTGCGCGCGCACACACACACACACGTGGCCGGTGGGTGCGTGTGTGCGCGTCGGTGTTCACCGCGCGTGTTTTTAAATGCCGCGCTGTCACGAGGCGACCATGTACGGGTTCTTTATAAAACAGCTGTTGGGGACAGCAGAAGCCGTGCCAGCGTCGAATCGCTAGATCAATACCATCGCCCGACGCTGAATTTCTACGTTGGGGTTCGCAAAGGGGAGAGCCAGTCGATGGGGGTGAACGGTGGAACCCCTCCCATGGCATGCCGTCCATAATGTCTAAGAATTTTTATCTCCTCGACGGACACGCAGGGAATAATATTTCTACGTTTTACCTCCCTCTTTGCTATGCGTATTCGCATTCGAATGAATTAGCATTGCAATGATTTATTTATGCTTTATTCAACCCTTATAACAACGCGTCAGACTCGCGATGGACATTTCCAAGTGTATTCGACAAATCTAAGGGTTACTTATTTATTTCTAAATTAACCCTTTGCACCCGGAAGTATTTCGTTGGAAATATTTAACATTTTCTAGTAAAAATATTTAATATATTTTGAAATATTTTAACCTGTCTAGTATTAATCTTTAACCTTTAGAGTGAATGTAGACAAAATAACATTTGTTTCTTTTTCTACTGGATTATTGATGACAAAGTTATTCTATCAAGCACAGTTGATAAGTAAATGATAAGGGTAGGGGTTAATACCCGGTAGATCTGATGTTAATGGAAAGACTTAATTAGAAACTGTGAAACCATTGGTGCACTGTGGTGTGCCAATGTTTTATTCCTTTAAATGAATACTTGTCATTTAATAATCTAGGATTCTTAAGAAATAAATGGTGTTATGAACAATTCAAACTCGACTATAATCCAAGAAAGAAAATGTGAAAGTTGAGGTTCAGGATTTTCCCGCCCAGTAAAAGATTGGAATTCGAATATCTGAAATATCACGTCTTTAGAAACAATGGCCAACTTCTTTTTACAGGTTGGCCTCTACTTATCGATTAAGCATCCATTTTCTGTCGGTGCGAGCGTATATGGTGGGATTTTATACGTGCATGCACGAGGAATGACGCAAGAAAGAGAAAAACGGAAATCGACGTACCCGTTGCTTCTATAAAGGTACGCGACGTCAATTTTTCTCCAACGAATTCTACCTTAACGATGTTAATTATGCGATATCGCATTCCCTGAAATGGTAACTCGTTTTATTCGTCGAATTTTCATGTTTTGTCGATTCAAGAAAATTATTCCCCTTTCTCTTCAACGAATTCTATTTTAACGATGTTAATTATGCGACGATGTCGCATTCCCTGAAACGGTAACCTGTTTCATTCGTCGAATTTTTGTCTTTTATCGATTCAAACAAATTGTTCCAATCTTTTTCCAACGAATTCTACATTAACGATGTTAATTATGCGACAATATCACGGCGAACACATTGTAACGGTCCTCCGCAGTCGCCGACGACCATTGATCTGTGGAGATCAGTGAATGGACGTTAAACATGTAAGACCGCGTTTCATTGGTCAACTCCATAGTAACTCGGAAGTTTATTGGCGATACTCACGCGCGCAGCGTGCGCCTTAAATGGATACCTAGCTAGCTGGTAGCACCGCGAAAACTCAAGAATTCATACAACAAGAAATAAAACCTAAAACCTTCTACTCTCATCGAGCCATTTATTCTGAAAGTTGGTTAACCTCAATTTCCAAAAAAATCAAGTTAATCTGTACAATACTTACAATTCTACATATTTTATTCTGTAATAGTCCTTCAATTTTTTCTAAGCAGACTTAAGTCACTTTCAAAATAAACTGTCCATATATTTCAATCCCAACCGAGTCCACATTACAACGAATTACAAATGAAACATAATCCGATACTCATAATTACGCAAACAACAATATAAAAAAACCATCTCCCTTACAGGTTACCATGGGAGAATGCTAATGCGATTTAACATGGCGATTCGTTTCCCACGTAACCCAACGATCCCCTCGGCGAGTCGCGGCGTGAACGTTATGAATCATAAATATCGAAAATCGTGTCTTCGCGGCGAACAGTTTGCAGCGATGACGCGATACGAATTATAAATTTAGATCTGGGCGCGTGTGCCGCTCGCGAATGACGGAAGAGCAGGCCTCGAGCTCGGTTGTCAATTGCGCTCGCGTTAATTGCGAATAATCGTCGAGCAAAGACGCGGCACGTATCGGTCCCGTCGCATCTTTCAACATCGCGAGATAAATAAAACAAATAAAACAAAATCTACATAAAACGCGATCCAACCGTAGCATCCTTTCCGAACGGATTCTCGAAACAGGGCGTTAATCGAGCAACACGGTCGGTAAGACTGTCCGAATCCTCGGTAACGGTTCCTGCGCAGCGATTCGAATTGTTTCCGGGAACAATATTGTTTCACGGTAACTCCGACGATATCGAATAACGCTTAATCATTCGTGGAAACCGGGTTACGTAACGAGCCGACGGGAACGCGACGTTCATTTTTTTCCCCTCGACACGGTCGCGCGGATATTTTCACGAAAATCCACCGTGAGCGCGCACGGTCACGTGAACCTTGTTTATCCGACGGGCGTGCGCGTATATATACGCGCGAGCGTTGCATAAGCGTGCGCCTCGTATTCGCTGGTAGCCCGCGATTCGCGTTAACAGGATTTCTGTACGGGTAAACAGGATGCAGTTCTCGTCGAGTACTTACGTTGCTGTGTAGTATGGACGAGTTCGCGATGCTGGAGAGAAAATCATGGCTGACGCGGGAGCTCTGTGACGTGCCGCTGTCGCTGGACACGCTAGAGCTGTCGTAAAGCACGTCGGACACGTCCAGCTTCATGTTTACGTGGTTCGACGGGCTGGCTCGTTTGGATTCCGTCTTATCGGTCTCTCTCTCCCTCTCTCCCTCTCTCTCTCTCTCTCTCTTTCTCTCTGTTCGTTTCGATTGCCGAGGGAAAAGCCGACCGGGCCTCCTTGTCTCCCGTGCGGACCGTTTCGATAACCTCAATTACAACGGTGCACCCGGGATCGGCTCCAGAGACGCGCGGTGATCCTCTTTCACCGGTAAACACCAAGTCGGCGCACACGTATCGCAGGTTCTTTTGCCCGAAACTGTGTGAAACTGTGCCCGATGACTCATACCTTTGGGGGAATACCTCGAGGTTCGCGCACGTTCGGTCCTCGGCTCAACGATCTGCTCCGACACACTCTCTCTCTGCCCGTCGAGACCCACGAACGCGTATGACGTCACTGGCTATTCCCAGCGAGCCAATCGCGGCGCGCGTGCCCGACGGTTGGCCCAGGGCCGACGGCACCGCGATATCGACGGGCGCTAATCTGCGGGCGCTGTCATCGCGTCATTCCCGAGATCAAATTCTGGACAGATCTGCCATTCGGATGACACGTGCTCGGCACCGCGGATTCTGACAGCTGAGTGCGCATGGAGCATCCTCTAACCTTTTAGAAAATCTGATCGATGAATGCTACGAGGCTGGAAAGTGAAGTATATGAATTTATTTTTTTAATGTACTCGAGTTATTTTGATGTTCGTTTCTCATAGATAGCTTGCAGGTAAGAGTCACAGATTTTTTTAGTGTACTCGATAGAATTCGAGTTCGCTGTCGCTGCGTGGGTACTTATTATCTCGGCAACGTTCGCGCCCGCCTACGTGCGAATCTTGGACGTCCAGGCCGGCCATGCGTATAAATACGAGCCGAACGTGAAACATCAATCTGCCTCGGCCGTTTCTTGCAGGGGGTCAGTGACGATCGTTTCGCGAACTGTATCGACGACGATTGGCCCGTGACACGCAGTCCCGGCTAGCCTGTGCCGTTTTTATTGGCCGATACGTGCAACAGTTCATTGCGTAACCGCCGATAGTGCCGTTTGTTAAGGTTATGTTTATAGCGGACCGCGACACTCGATAAAAGAGGCGATGAAAACGGATCGAGGGAATTTGTTGCTTCGAAGAACGTGCGTGTTCGAGCGACGCATTGATACGTTCGATCGATCAACGATACAAGTGTTTAACTCGATCGCTGGCAGCGGTTCTTTCGGTAATGGTCTTCTCAGTTATCATAGTTTCTTCGATTCAATGAATTTAAAGGAAATAGAAAAATGAAACTGACGAGTCATTCAGTTGCTAAGTATAATATCGTAGTTTATAATTTCTAATAAGAATATTTATAGGATTAATTTATTATATTACTGAAATATTGATAGATTGATAACAATATCTATGAGATGAATCTATTATATTGGTAAATTATTAATAAATTAATGACAATATCTATAGGATTAATTTATTATATTACTAAATTACTAATGGATTACTAACAACGTTTATAGGATTAATTCATTATGTAACATATAGGATTACGGTCGTCACAAATATGTGACGCCAGTAGCAAACATCTTAGCTTCCATCAGAGCTAACTTCATTCAAGGCTCGAAATCTGCCGAGTCACTCACTACCACTACAAGATTAAATCATACCCGATTTCAAATATTTACAGTACTGAACAGCTTTAACACTAGAACTACCGAGCACATAGATCGTCTGAAATGATTCTATAGAAACCTCAACAGTGCAATTAAGACTTCAATTGCTCCACAATTCAGTTTGTACGTTGCTAAACCAGTTTCTCCAGTACTTTCAGTGAAAAGTATCTGTTATCTATCGAATACCTGACAAAATGAAATCAGGAATAGATCATTTTGACTTATTTAGTAGTTCCAGTGTTAAGTCGGTTCGAACACGTTTAATTAACTACGATGATGCATCCACGGGGAATCCCGAGCGGGATAGGGCTCCCAGCCACCGTTGCACGGTCACGAAAATTTCGAACGAGCCGCCGCGGTGCGGCGGCGCACGCTCCGTTTCCAAGAATCGTCGGTGAGTCATGCGGCAGGTCGTGTGGGCGGTGAACGGGGTAGCCGGAACATATCGGACAAGACGCGTGACTCACCAATCTGATATGTCGGATATTCGCGCCTTAACCTGCTCCCTCCGGATGGCTAGACGTTCCTCGACCTGCTGTTTCCGCCGCTTTTCAGCGTACAGGTGCCCCGGTGTAACCGTATCGGCCGAGATACGGGAGGAAGCTGGGTCACCAGTCACGCTCCGCGCCATTGTACTGCGCCGTGATTAAGCCATTTCCGATGGAACCGTTTTTTCTGCACTCGGCTTTAACCCTTTGCGGACGAAGATTCTTTGGAATGTGGAAAACCTTCGATCCATTGTCATTTGATTGAATGTAACAGAAGGATGAAGCGAAAAATTTAATAGAAAATGTTGAATAAGGTATTAACATGAAACAAATAAAACAATTCTACGCCATTGTAATGCGCTGTGATTAAGCCATTTCTGATGGAACCATTTTTGCTGCACTCGGCTTTAACCCTTTGCACTTGGGAGGCAACTCTCAATTGTCATTTGATTAAACGCAGCAGAATGATAAAACGAAAAATTCAATATAAAATGTTGAATAAGATATTAACACATGAAACAGAAATAGAACAATTCTGCGCCACAGTTTGTGCGAAATAATATTGTTGATATTTCGTGAGAAAATAATGAATGTTTCTAATGAAAGATATTGTCAAGAGCAAAAGCTACTCGGGTGTCAACTCTTTGAGGTCGAATGTCGTTATAGAAGCAACATGGAACTTTCGTACATAAAATAGAATATTACAAAAGGGTCAATTTTCTCGGGTAATAAAAGATCGGTACACGGTTCCCTTCTTCAGTATTTAGCAATATTTCAGTTGAAGAATTTGTAGTCGCAAGAGAATCTCTCTGAGATTATCAGAATTTTCAGCTACAAACGAATCCACCTGGGACGGAACGCGTGACATTCGGACGAGCGAGAAACGGATAAGCGATTTCGTTCGGCGAATTGGAGCATCCACCGCGACCGATAGCGCCCTCGATTATCTCAGCGAGATAGAGATTCGAGAACGTCGACGGTTCATTGGAAGTGTTTCCCGATTTACGGTTCTGCGAACGGGCATTCTTCGGAATCGCAAGAATTCCTCGTTGAAACTCCGCCGATCGAGGAGAGATCCGTATCTTTCGGCCATTTTGGTATCCTTCGCGCGCAAGCGGTACCGCGAGTAATTAGGATACCGCGGGATGTTAATTTTCTCCTCCGATCGTTATTTTTAGTTCGATCGCGGCAACGAGCACGCCATTATACCGCAAAGATCGATCTCGTTACGGGCATGAAGCGCGAGAGGGCTGACATTCACCTGCTTAGGCCTCACACCATGATGAAATTCGAATAGACAGCCGGTCGTCGTCCTTGAGCTAACTTCTGCCTATAGCCAAGGCCGTTCAGCGCTTAGCTTAGCGGCCACATTTGAACGTTACCCGATTGGAAAAAAATCACGACGCCATGGAATGTCATTGCCGCTCTGTAAATCGGTGCCGTGCGGCTACGTGGCTCGTGTGTGCCCGAGGAATACACCGACCCGTCGGCTTCGCGCGATCTTCGCCGGGGAAATGTAGGTTATGCCTTGTTCGCCGCGTTTTTCGAGGCTGCCCCATCTTTCCCACGAAAAACGTCAGTTTAGTTCAGTCGCGTGCAGCACATCGAGTCGACTTTGCAAAATTTTACCATAGAAACTAAGAGTACCGGGATTTTGATAAGACTCCCATCAATTCCTGTTCCTTGCAACGCCAGTTAAGTTGAGTCGCGTGCAGCACATCGAGTTGACTTTGCGAAATTTGACTATAAAAACTAAGAGTACCGAGTCAGTAGTGTTCGAGTCCAAGGTTCAGGGCTGATTTTGACAGGACTGATTTTTGTGTCCCATAAATTCCTGTTTCTTCAAACACACTAACTCCTCAGTGACACCGGATACCGTTCACACGTGTATCATCATGTGCGCACTTAGAAATTGAAATCGCGACGTACCACTGACGCAACGCGGCCCTGTAGCTTCCTTATCTTATCTGCGTACGTGTAACGCGGATAAAAGTAACAGCTATTTTAGTTGTCACTAATAATAACGATTGCGAGCGCGAGCAAGGAACGTAACGCGCGGCAATCGAAGTTTCCTCAGAAAGTTCTGCGCGGACATCCGCGCGACAATAGCCGCGGCCGATAACAGCGTCCGCCATTGGGCAAGAGTCATCCTCGAAAGTTAAACAACAGGTCGTTGTAACGAAGGAATTTACAAAGGGACAGAACGCCTGGGCAAATCGCGGAGGAAATTGTTCGCTGGAAGGAAAGCGAAGCGGCGCGGATACACGGAATTTATCGGCGACTCCGTTAATCATTTCTGATGAGATAACGAGGGAGGCTCGCTCTTGCACCCAGGCGGTCGGCGATAAGCTATCAATCGAGCGCAGTTCCGTTTTATCTGCGTTTTGCAACGGCGCGCGCCGAAATTGGAAACGGAGCCTCGCCGTCTTCGAGCGTTCCGCGTCCTTCCACCGTCGGCTGAGACCGCGGCGAGATAACGTCACGTGGCCGCTGACATCGCGGAATTTTCTGCAACAAAGAAGGAAAGGCACGAAATTGCCGCGGAACTATTCGCGAACAATACTGCTCAGCTGAATCGATCGTGGACTCTGCTCTCTCACTCACTCTCTCTCTCTCTCTCTCTCGGTTGCTGCTTTTTTCTATCCATACGTCTATCTCCGCGGCAGCTGCGGACAAGAGCGAGCATAACGATGCAGCCGTGGAACCAGCGCGAAATGAGTCAACACCCGCTCCCGTTAGCTGTTGCAAAACGCACGTGCGTTTCGGCGCGACAGATAAAACGTGCTCTCGGCGAGAGAATAGATCCGGCGCGGCTGCGCGCCGCGTTATCGAATTCGGTGCGGCCGTCGTGGAAAGAGCACGATTATATGCGACTTTCGTGCCACATACGTGTACACAATGTCAATCGATTTGATTTTCATACCAATAACCATATGACGGCCATCGTCGGCCGCGAGGCTGAAGGAACTTTTATAAACGATTCATTGTTTTCGTTCACACTCGAGCCGAGTTGCGATCTTCTACACGATGACAATGTTATTCGGTTTCTGCATTGGAGCTTCATTCGAGTTTCTATTAAAATTGAAAATGTGGAAAGCATTGATCAATTCGAGTTCCAGCGTTAAGGGAAACGAGAGACGAATCGTTTCAGAAGTCCGTTCAATCTCTTACCTTCTAATCGCTGTATCAAAGTCGAACGCGTCCGCGTCGAGCAGGAAACATTCGTAGAAATTGTTCGACGGGCAGCGCTCAGTATTTGTCCCGTTTCGTATCAGCCAAGGCTGGCGGCTAGGAAGAAGGCGATGGGCAACACCTGACGGAAAAACGGAACAAAGGCATTGTTTCCAGCTGAGAAAACGATTTCTTTGGAAGCGTCGACGGGAATGCGAACGGTCGAGGCCGTTACGATTGCATTAATCCCGTGGAAAGTGTGCGCGGCTCGAGGCGAGAACGATAGACGGCGATGTTTTATCCGTTTGATCAACTACCGGCGCTAATTATCGGACGAAACGCTGATCAGTCGGACAAAACGATTTGTACGGTCACGGACAATGATTTCTCGGTTACCCGCGGGGAGCTCGCGAGTGGGCGAGGGAATTATAAATTTCGAGGTGACAACTTTAAATTTCGTTGATCCCCTTTTTGGTATTCATAAGCGCTGGCCGGGGGGGAGGAGGGCGAGGGAAACAATGCGCAGGGTTCTGCGCGATGTCTCTAGACCGACCAACTATTGTATGTAAAACAGGAGTTCCCAGCGGCCGACGCCGCCATCTTGGAAGCGCATTGTTCGCGCCAAAACTCTTTCCGCGACGCTGAAAAACAGAAAGCATTTGCAATTAAACGGCACGGATTACAATAACAAACGCGTGCATGCTATTTTGCAACGGATTCGCTTTACGATAACGGCAATTATCTCTCGGCGAGCCTCCCTTTCTGCGTGTCGATCGCGGATAAGTCTTGCCGAGACTGTTTTCTTAACACTAGAAACGCAAGGAATTAGAAATGGGTTGTTCTGACGCATACTGTTCCAGTGTTAACTGTTAACACCTTTCCCTTAACGCGTTGCCTTTTGTTTTCTTCAGTTTTTCTTCTGTTATTCAAGTCTTGAATTCGAGTTATTAGCAATTTGTCGAGTATCTTTCTTGATTTTATAGCAAAGTCCTTGATGAAATCAGGTAAATAAGTTCAGTTGCAGATATTGCCTTTCATTTTCATTTTTTCTTCTGTTATTCAAGTCTTGAACTCGAGTTATTAGCAATTTGTCGAATATCTTTCTTGCTTTTAACAGGTTGAATACCATGGGGCCATGATTATTTGAAAACATTTCTATATTACAAATAATGCCAACTAACGTGGTGACATTCAGCTAGATGAACCTGCAAGAATAACAATACAATTCAACCAAATGATTTAATATTATCTATTTTCCATTTCAAATATTCTGTACCATGAAATTAGCATTCAACGTGTTAAAACAATTCCTTGATGAAATCAGTTAAATAAGTTCAATTGTAGATAATGAGAAAGGTTCTAGTTAAAATTCTTTTCAGGTTGCCTAAGTGTTAACGACAAATCAGAGATAGAGAGAGAGAGAGAGAGAGAAGCTATGCATATCGCGCGAGAAAACCGGCGGCTGTTATTTTAATCGAGTAAAAAGTGTCCAGGTCGTGTCATATGTTATGATTATCGGCGCAATTAGTCACGCCGCTATCAAGAATGAGTAAGATTTAAGCGTGCAGGAAATGCTCCGGTAGACCGCAGCCTTTGTGCTCGTGCTACGCTGTCCTGCGAGATACCGACGCTTAAATGCCAACAGATAAGGAGCAGTTTAACGCGCGTTACATTGTGATTTCTATTTTTCCTTCGCGGCGCGCGCGCGCCGCGAGATAAACGAGGGCAAGGGGGAGGCCTGAGATCTCGCCGATGCCTATCGGCCTGACTTTGATCTGTTTGCTCGCGCACGCGTTTAATCAATAATGCGTTCAATTTTCATGCTGACCCTTGTAAACAATTCCACGGCAGCCGGCAGCGGGAACTTTGACCTTTCGACGCCGGGTGTCACTCGATCTTGCGACGTTTAATTGTCTGTTTCCGATGAAAATGAATCTATGCACATATTATGATGATTCTTGAAGTCATGTGTTGTCGATAACAATTGATAAAAACGGATTGATCAACGGCAGGAATGTGGAAATACAAGTTTAAGATAATTAGATAATTATCGTTACGCGTCGAGCAACGAGGAACCGATGATAAGTTTCACGTTAGAACCGAATTGGCCAAAATGGCAGATTTCTTTCGCGATTATTAGAAACAGGATAGTTCTAGGACTTACTAAGTTGATTGCAACGTAAACTATAAGTCAACCCTCTGCACTCCGAGGAATTTTTAATATAACCTTTCAGCAACTCCGAATCAGTTTTAATATGAACCATCAGCTACGATCGTGCCTCTGTAAAAGATTTAAGGCCCTGCTTTGTCATTAAAAAAACGCGTATATTTTAAAATTATGTTTGACTAAAAATGAAATTATAAACTTATCTTACAATGTCGCCGCAGTGGCGACAGAGTGCAAAGGGTTAATACAGCAAAACTAAGTTGAATATTTAGTATTCTAAATGAAACTTTGTATATCTATAGGAAATATCTAAATCAAATAGCATCGTTTAATTTATCTGTGAGGTATCGTTAAATTTCAAGCAATGTTTACTCGTCGAAAAATGAGAAATATTTCCAAAATCCGTCGAGTGCAAGGGGTTAACGCTAGGTTTACAGAACGCGTCAATTTGACGCAGATTGAATTTTATAAACATTATTCGGTAAATGTTTCAATCGGTTTTCATCGATCCAATTATAATTTCTAAGATCTAAATGAACGAATATTAACTTCCCCAGGAACAACAGAATAAATTGTACAATAAATGCCCGTAAACCTAGCGTTAATTGACACAGAAAACTCAGCACTCGATAGTTTTAATGGTGAAGACAAAAGTAGCGTCGGTCGAGTATAAGAACGGACCAAAGAAAAATCCAGCAAAGCAATGAGAGCGCCGATTGTAGCAGACTGGTACGAGTTGGAGCGGGCTGGGGTGATCCGAAGCGGGTTGCAGCTCTCTGGACTGGGGAGAGCTTAAATGGACTAGAGAGGACTGATTAGGTTTGATTAGCGTACAAGTAATTCTGAGAATTATCATGGAGATTTTAGGCACATAATTGCACGTACGGGAGACACTGAATGCGATGCGTAAAATCTTCGACCCTCGGACTGCCGTCCATTTTACTCAGGAAATATTAGATGTAAATATTTATTCTGACTCAAATAATAAATTAGTGAATAATAAAGTAGTTGATATAATTTATTATTTAAGAAAAAATTGATTTCTGTACTGGGTACATATTTTTCGTGTTGCTGTCTTGTGTAGTATTGGATGGCGCTAGCTTTCGGAGTCCGCCATTTTGTAGTGACGGTACTGCAGAAGTGTAGGTAAAAAGGATGTCTTTGGATAAGATACGTATATCGATTTTTATACCGTCATAGATTTAAGTCTGTTGTGCGAATGACTTGATCGTTTGGACGTAGATGGCGTAATAAATTGATTTCAATACTCGGTGTTTACGAAAAGGCGAAAAGACAGTATTATAAAAGTATACAGATGTTTAACCTTTGAATGAATGGAACGCTGATTGTTCTTTATAATGCATCTCGTTTCTCACGCGGAAACTTCTGAGAGGTCTGATGACATTTTAATAAAAGAATTCGAACCACGATCTCTATGTAGCAAGAAAGAATGGTTTATTTTATGTATTTAACCTGAATCGAGAAACCACATTTGTATATTGTAATAGTCTGTACTTTATTCTGTGAATAAACAATGTCTCAGACAATTGATGGAAGAAGTATCAAAGTAGAACCTATCGACTTTTCTGAGGATTCTGAGAATGAGGCTTGTAAAAAGTGTGGAAGTCTGTGCGATCCGTATAGGAAACCAGCATTGCGTTGCAACGGATGCTCAAGAAAGATACATGTAGAATGCTTGAAAAGAGGAAGTGTACCGGTGTCTTTCGTGGGAGATGTATTCTTTGAATTCACTTGCTCTAATTGCAATCCGTTTGGCGAGGAAACGGTTGTTCGTAACAGAATGCCATGGCTTAATGTAATTATATTGACTCTGTATAATTTACGGGAAAAGTCAAGCGGTATCAGTAAAAGAGGATACTTTCATTGGAAGTCTGATATCAGCACTTTTGTAGATCGTAATTGGGATTACTTATTTAAAAAGACTGTGTAAGTTTTTATCCATTTTCATAGTACTGATATATCGAAAGAAAAATTATTGAATGACAGACTTGGTTTTTTATGTTTCCAGTAAGAGGAAAAAGAATTGGATTGGTACTATATCTGGAACACTTTCTCATTATAGTGGTATCTTTTTTAAATCAGGAACAGTAGAATTAGGGGAATCTGGTTGGTGGAGATTGATAGACAATGATCCACCTGAAATTCTCATAGCCAAAAGTAATAATGGACACTTGAAACATTATCCACAATGTTTATAAGAGCATGACTTCATTTGTAATTTTTTATTACAGATGAAAAAATGATATTAGATCGTAAGAAACAAATTGGTGGCCAAACAAAGGCATCAAGTAGAATGTACAGCAGTCCAACTCCCTCAGAATCTAGTATTTCTGTTGGAGAAGATAACACTTGCGGAAATGAGTTGCCGAAAACTGAAGAATGTTCTGTATATTCACAATCCCATGTTCAATCCAATAAAACATTATTTGATCTATTACTCGAGGAGAATGAATTAAGTACTATACATACACATTAACTACACTGAAATATGTAAAAGAAATGTAAACGTATTCTTCAGTATTGTTTAATTTCAGATATGGACATTGAAGACGATTCCATGCTTAATGAGCAAAGTGACACTCCATCTTTATCTGATTTGATAAGGGACTGCCAGTATCAATCTAATAATTTCCACTTCTCACAATTACTGGATGATTTTACAACTGAATGGGGCTCCACTACAGATACCACATCCGAAACTAATTGTAACATTAAAGTAGAACAAATAAAGCAAGAAGTAGAGGAAGAAGAAGACGAGGAAGAGGAAGAAGAAATAGAAGACGAAGCAGAGAGCACCGATAGTTTGAATTCTGTTCAGGAACAGCCACCTGTTTCTTTATTTCATGTAAGAAATCAGCGGCCTTGGCCTTGGCAAAGAAATCATGTTATTGGTAATCACGTTTCTCTTATACATCATACATTTATATTTATCTTCATATTAATCTATATTACTTTTCTTTCACAGAAGAAAAGATCCCGCGCATGACCCATCAGGAGGAAGCATATTTATTACAACAGGTCAACAAATCTGCGCTTAATTCAGCACCTCCAGAGATCAGGCGATTTTACAGAAAATTAGCTGTAAGAAAATTGAAACGCGAATACGGTTTGCCTATACTGGACGTCGATAATTTCGGACTACAAACAGAAACATCTCACAAATCTTCAAAAGACTCCAACAGAGTATTGGACCGATTTTTTGGCGATGACTTAGGATTATTTGAGCAAAGATTGCAAGGATACAATGAGCCTACGTCTGTACATAGTCCATACACGAACAGACTCCTGAAACCGTTCATAAGAAGAGACACTTCCTGCCGACCTTTGTGGGTAAGAGTAATGGAGGAACTTCGAACAAAAGTAAATAAATCGAATCCTAAGTGGAGGTTGCCGCCAGCAGCACCGATCGATTATTCTTACATTAGACCTCAACACATTCCCGCGATTAACAGTCTGTGCAGCCAATTTTTTTGGCCTGGCATCGATTGTAAGTAGATATAACTGGTCGATATATTTTTACACCCTAATTCCGCCGAAGATAAACATGTTGTACAATTTTTTTTTAGTGACAGAATGCTTGCAGTACCCCGATTTCAGTTGCGTCGTGCTGTACAAGAAATTAGTTATAGGATTCGCGATTTTAGTTCCCGACGTTGGTTACAACGAAGCGTACATATCGTTCTTCCTGACCCGTCCCGAATGGCGTAGATCCGGTATCGGAACATTCATGCTTTATCATTTGATCCAAACCTGCATGGGGAAGGACGTTACGTTACACGTTTCAGCTACTAATCCCGCGTTGATTTTGTATCAGAAATTCGGTTTCAAAGTGGAGGAGTTCGTTCAGGATTTCTACGACAAATACATGCCTCCGAATTCACGAGAGTGCAGGCATGCGTTGTTCTTACGATTGAGTAGATGAGCGTAAATTAATTCTGCGTAATATGTGTCACATGTTCGTGAAATATACGTAACATTAACTCGACCAACTTCTCTTTTATGATAACATTCCCATTAAAATTACATTCGTACAGTATCAATTTAATTGCATTATACTTCTAAGCAGTCATCAATAATAATCACCACAATGTGATTACTATTGACAGAGGATTGATTATTATCAGAAATTATTAGATAATCGCCGATGTCATTGTTACAATTCAACTGTTCCCGCCAAATCGCGAACACGTAAATCGAACGAAGTGTACACTATACTCCATTATCGCTAACAAAATCCAACTGCGTGCCGGTAACATTGGAAGCGATATTAGAGCTCAGTTATTAAATCCACAAAGTATTCCCACGGAACAGAAGAATACATTGTATGGTAGGTTTCTATACATTGTATCTCTATTTATTATCGACTCTCGATCTAAAGATAGAACAACGTGACAATCGACTGTTGCCAAACGAGCGTGTCCCTCTAAAGTCAGTTTCACACGTACGCCAAATGGCGGCGTGCAAGTGTACCGAATTCGTATCGTGTGTCCGAGTCTTTTTCTCCGAATAAAAAAACGAACGGAATGCTGACGGATCACGGGCAGGATTTTAGTGTACATAACGAACCGAACTGACAACGAGACCGTGCGATGTAAAAATATTCTGCGACGCAACGTGCATACACAGGTAAGCGACCGATTTCATGTCCATCCGAATCAGTGGTAGCCTTTATTGCGTACGTTCCGTGAAGCAACAGCAAGAGGGACTGCTGATAACAGTAATTACATTTTACTCGATACACGGTAATTATTTCCGTTTCCCAGCGTCCACTATAGACGTGCTGGCATATACTACGCAGAATTCTCGACGTCTACAGTGCGTGTCCACCGAGTGCGCGTCGATGCGATAACCGGCCAACTTCATACTATATAAAGAACATCGTTTTACCGCGGATCTTTTCCTTTTACCGTCAACCGCGCAGAATTCCCATGTTCGGGCAGCGAGGAGGAAATCATCTCCGCGAATAAGTGCCGGTACCCTAAACGCATCGAGACGTTATCGGGCCGCGAACCCTCGCGATTCGTATAGCCCGCGCTCCGTCACAGTTCACGTTTTCGATCCTCCCAAGAGAGGGGTTACTGACGTCATCGAATAAGCGCTACGGAACTGCCGTCAAACCATTCTCGAAAGTTCCGGAAGCCACCAGAAGGAAAGTTTGTATATATGGACGGCGCAGCTTACGCGACACTTTAGTACGTGACGAGAGGTGTTAAATGTTGTTTCGGCTGATCTGTCAGAAGCAAGCATCTCTTTGATCGCAGCAACGTTTTTCGCGAACGGCCCAGTGAATTCAGTGCCAATTGGATTTTCTGGTATTTCGAACGATCGCACGAACAACAACAGTAAG